CGGACTGGGTACTCTTTCCACTACCGGTCTCACCAGAGATGATAGTAACCTGGTACTTGTTCACGGCCTGGATGATAGCGTCCTGTGTGTTCCAGGCTGGAAGAGCTTGTCGTTTCCTAGTCATCTCTTGCTGGGCCTTGGTTGCCTGCTTCGCTTCCCAGGCTTCTCTCAGCGCGACGCTTTGCGGCGAGCCCGCCTGCCAGTTCACGTCTCTGCCCTTCTTGCGCGATTGGCGAACAGGGAGTTGAGATACAGATCCGGTGGCAGTTGGAGAAGCAGAAACTGTCGAGATATCCCTCAGACGCCCTGGATTCTCCATAACTTCCGGCAGATGGACCTCCAGCCAGTCCAGGATATTGAATATCATGGGCTCACCGAAGAAGTTCTCCTCAGAGTACTGTACCACCTGGCGTATAGCACTCAGGCGTATGTAAGCTGGAATGCCCTTGGCCAGAATAGAGATAACCGGGACAGATGAGGGATAGTGCGTAGAAGGCCTTTGGAAACGGAAGGTCAAAGATTCTGGTAAGTCTGATCCCTCACTCCTAATTTCACAGACTTTAGGCGAAACTCGCTTGTATCGGTCGCCGAAGATAGCCTCCAGGGTTTCTTGCTCTTCTGCCCATAGATCCTCTTCCGCAATGGGCGAAGAGTCGGCAGCAGAACTCGACCCGTGCACCAGTGTGCTTTGGAGGAACTCTGCTGCCGCAAGTTCATCACCCTTTTTGCTGTCCAATGTGCGCGAGCACAGGTCAGCCGGGTAGCCGATGGAGGCGAGCCGTTTGATTTTGGCCTCCCTTGCAAGATCATCGCTGGCAAGACTCACACCGGCGGAGTACCCTTCAGGCAGACACCAACGCGGCAGATCATCTTCCGGGACGTATATAAGAAGCCATTCCAAGACCTCCTCCCGGTCCTTGCACGTGCTTGTCGCCTCCTCAACGTGGCTGCGCCGGAAGCCCAATTGAGTAAGCTCTTCGACAATGGATTTGCGTTCGCGTTCGGGTATCTCCACATTATAAGGATTCCAAATTGCATGCTGCCGCAGTATACCCTCGATTTCACGGCGCACTTTACCCCCAAGGTCGACCTTTGGTGCTTGCGACCAGATCTTTTTGCCCCTGTTATCACCACTTGAGCCTAGTCCCAAGTCGACGGTCTTCTCTGCCTCCTTCGCCTGGGTCTTTTCGCGCTCTTTCCGCTTCTTCTCCAGGTCTGCAGCTGCACTTTCTCGCTCCTGTTTGGCGAGGAACGGATCTGCCTCGTACATCCATCCTTTCCCTCCCTTGGAATCTGCCGCTTTTATCTCCGTAAAATCCTCTTTCCAAAGCTTCTTATAGGTGGGTGGAAGCATCATATGGATATTCTTCATGTTACAGACTCGAAATAGGGCATAAGCAGCAGCGAAATGACGCGCCTCTAGCGCCGTTGGTTGCGCAGCGAGATGCTTGTGGGACGGAGGGGGTTTCATAGGAGGGAGTACGACAGTTTCTCGAGTCTTCGGATCGATGCGCTTCAGAATAACGGAGGATACAAAGCCCTCCGAGACCTTAATCTGCGATGTGATAGAATTGTCAGCATGACGAGCCCGTTAATCCTTACATTCTTGGATAGAGGAAGATGGGCCATCATCGGCCATACCATTGTATACTCAGGCTTCTCCCACTTCTGCTTCTGGCAGTGCTCCGCAAGCATATTGACCGGCAGCTTTCCGGTCCATGATGCGCCTCCAATAACCTCCTTCACTGAGGGTTTCTTGGGCTCCTCTGTAGAAGCCTGCGCTTTCTTCGCTGTCTCCGCCGATCGTTCGGCGGCAGCTTTGGCTGCTTTGGTCCCCGGTTTGGGGGCTCCTCCACGGGCGTCGTTCTTTTTCTTGGGGGGCATGTTTCCAAAATGACAGATAGTCTAGAGCAGACGCCCGTGGAGTAACTCAGGCCGTTGAGGAGAATCCAAAAAGGTACCTAGAGCACTCTTAGTATTGAAAAGAAGCAACGGGAGTTTCTGAGACGATTCCGCGGTTGGCTTGTCCCGCACTAGGCCGCTTTGATCTTTGGGTAGGGCTGCGGGGAGTCGCCGCTGATCGCATTGCATTGCTTCGGCCTCTCCGCATCTTAAGAAAGAGCTCTGAATCTCACCTACAACAGCTCTGTACCACTCACTCGTTGTGTTCATCAGCTAGTAACTCAACTACAATGGCCGAATCTCCTACTCTGGAGCTCGACAGTCCCACAGAACAGGATGTCGCGCCCGCAGAAGCGCAGCAGCTGCCACCCAAGCCAGCCAAAAGAGACGCCTGTACGCTCCGAACACAAACATCAACTCATCTCCCCTTGCATAGCAGACGCAGGAACCACTAACTGATCATTCCTATCTCAGTTACAGAACTACTCGCCCCGAAACCTAAACATCCCAAACATGACGATTCCAGCACCTCCTCCAAGCACATTCCTCCTACCTCTAAAAGGCGAGCCATCGGTGGCCCCCGAGACGGCCTAGGCGTCTACATTGCGAAACCAGAATCGTTCCCCTCCAACGTAGTAGTATACTACGACGACGACTTCGTCGTTATCCACGACATGTTCCCTAAGGCAACCCTCCACCTCCTACTTCTCCCACGAGATCCCCAAAAAACGCGCCTCCATCCTTTCGAAGCCTTCGAGGACGCCGAGTTCCTGGCAAAAGTGAGGAAAGAAACGCAGAAACTCCGCAAACTCGCGGCTGGAGAGCTCAGACGAATACACGGGAAATACTCGGCGCAGGATAAGGAAAGGCAAGAGGCGCTTAACGTAGAACCACCGCTGGAGGAGCTGCCGCCCGGGAGAAACTGGGAGCAAGAGATAATGTGTGGGATTCATGCGCATCCCTCCATGAATCACTTGCATGTGCATGTTATCTCCGTGGATCGGTTTAGCGATCGTCTAAAGCATAGGAAACATTACAATAGCTTTTCTACACCGTTTTTCGTCAATATTGATGATTTTCCGCTCGCGCCAGATGATGTGCGGAGACACCCGGATGAAGAAGGCTACTTGCGGAGGGATTTTGTCTGCTGGCGCTGTGGGAGGCAATTCGGAAATAAATTCGCCGAGTTGAAGCTACATTTGAAGGAGGAATTTGAGGCATGGAGGAAGCTGTGAGGCGCAGGGACTGCCCGCATGCATGCAGGATGGTATAAGCGACTGGGAGCTAGAGGCACGTTCTGCCATGTTTAGTTGAGCTTCAATTGGCACCTGATGGAGTGATGCGGGGGTCCGACGATGCGGTCCCCCTGGCTGATTGCGTGAGCTTCGATTATAAATATCAATTTGAAGTAAATGTACACGCAAATCCAAGGCAGCAATAACTCTCGGTGGGGCCGCATTTTCAGTGACCCTTTCCCAAGTCCGCTAGCCTTACTCCGGAGTCGCTGAGAGAACCAACCAAGGTTCCCTCCGACTCCAAGCCCTTCCCAATATCTCCTCACAAATCACCAAAGACTCAGCACTGCAAGGGCCATTTAGGCACGGTTCTTAGACTTGGCGCCACCCTTGACCTTCCTGGCCTCAGGACGGTTGATGTGGTGAGCGGGGATCCACTCGGCGTTGTAGGTAGTGGCAGACGAGACAGCAGGGCTGCTGGGAGCCTCAACGGGGGCCTCCTTCTTGGAGGCACCAGCGGACTTCTTGTACTCGGGACCCTTTGCAGCACGGCGCTTCTGGGGGAAGTAGGGAGCGATCCAGACGGTGTAGAAGAAATAGACGACGCCAGAAAAGCAAGCCAGGAGGAAGAAGTAGAGGAAAAGGCTAATGATAATCGGGTTAGCTTGATCCCATCGACGAGCTGCGAGAATGTGCCTTACATCTGAGGGTCAAAGATGCTGGTCTCGGGCTCAACGACGCTGACAGTGCCGTTGTAGGCGTACAGAGTGAAGAGGTTGCCATTGGTATCAGAGATAACGGAAGCGAGAGTGAGCAGCAAGTCCTGGGGGTGCATTTCGGTGGCGAAGCTGTAGCTGACGCTCTCCTGCTGACCGGCCGGGATCTCAACGCTGTAACGGTGCGCAGTCAGGTTGCGAACAATTTGGCTGCTTTCTCCTTCAACCGCCGACAAGGAACCTCCAATGAAGTTCACAGTCACAGGAACTTCATCCTCATTGGCGAAAGTGATCAGCGCCTCAGTCGGGTAGCCATTGACAAGCTTGACACCGAAGATCTCCTCGGAGGCAGGGAAGGAGGCGTGGGCCGTGACAGAAAGCAATTGGGTTTCAGGGAGATCATCCTTCTCAGCAGCATCCTGATAAAATGCGACATCGCGTCAGCAACTCAATTGACTGTAAAACGATAAGAGTCACGCGAGTGGGAACATACCGCCGCGAGACTGCCGCCAATCAAGGCCTGGACAGAAAGGAGAGCCAGGGACAAGAAACCAAAGCGACCCATTGTGAATGGACCGAGAGTTGGGGACGAGAAGAGAAAGGGTGAGGGTGAGGAGAGGGGGGAAAGGGTGGGGAAGAGAAAGATCGAAGAGGCGACCGGACCAGAGATGGATGGAGGAAGAAGAGAGGGAGAGGAGAAGCAGCAAGAAAGAGAGGAAGGGGAACCGGGCAATTTCTCCACGTAGCCTCAATACTGCCTCAGGTTGGCTGGGATGGTTCCCCATGCGGCGGGCTGACTCAGCCCCAGCTCTCCCCGGCCGGCGGCTCGTGACTGGTTGGCGCCTCATGCGGCTGTTTTGATGGTGACTTGCTCTAGGCTTGTGCCAGTCCAGTTCACTTGTCTCTGTAGATCTCGCACTTTCTTCGTGACTGTACAGTAAATTCACTCCCGATAGTATTGACTTCCCCGCTGTCTGCCCAATCTGCTACTCTTTTTGGCTCCATAATCTCGATCGTCGCCGTTTCAGCCGCCTACCATCAACCCTTCCCCATTCTCGGTGCTTCTATAGCCTGGCGCTTCAGAAGACCTCTCTCTCACTTGCTATCCCTCTTAAACCATTAGTGCCCAAACCTTACCTAGTCCATCATGACAGCCCCGGAATATCTCGAGCGATATAAACAGCTGGCATCTATAGAACAAGATAAGAATATCCTAATCGAGGTAGCCGCTCAGCATCACAGTATCAAGTGCTCCATGTTGACGTTACACTCCCTGCACCTAGGAACTTTTGCAGCGTGTGACAGAGCTGGAGGCTGCCTTCCAGCAAGAGAAACTCGATCATGAACGTGAAACGCGGTTTAATCGTGATATCCAGCTTCATGAAATGGAGTTAATGCAGCATATCGCGAGGATCAAGGCCATTATGGTGGGACCTTCATAGTTCTGCAGCTTGGTCTGTGCTAATCATGCCCGTCCGCTTTTAGGACCGCGAGCCCTTTATAGTCGTGCTACTAGATGGAACTGGCATCATCTTCAAGGACGAGTTCCTACAAAGGGGAGAAGAAGGTGGCAAAGTTGCAGCCAATAAGCTTGCTGTCGCCCTGAAAGACTATGTTGCCAGCAATTTCCCGGGCCTTGATAATCCAAAAATAATCACGAGGATGTACGTTAACTTGAAATGTCTGAGTGAGATGTGTGTCCGAGGCGTCATTAGCACCGACCCATCATCGATCGAGGGCTTTGCTAAGGGCTTCAACAATGGCCATCCACTGTTCGACCTTGTGGAAACTGGACTAGACAACGCACATGACAAGATCGCAGGTACGCAACAAGACTTCCTTGTCCAAGATACTTGCATTGGTATGTTACTCAGGACGATGCGCTGACCTGCTGTCTGCCATCTCTAGAGGCCTTCAAAGTCAACCTATATAACTGCCACTGTCATCAAATCTTCTTAGGATGCGCCGACACCAACGCATATGCCCAGATCTTGGTGGACATAATGGAAGACATTGACCTAGTAGGAAGAGTAACCTTGATCGAGGGCATCACCTTTGAAAAAGATCTGGCCAAAATCAAGGCCGCATACAGAGTCTCTCAGTTCCCAGAAATCCTTCGAAATACAAAAATAACACCTGTCTGGGCCCCGTGGAAAGCCGCAGTAGCGTCCAAACCTCCTCCAGCTCTTACTCCATCGCCGAAACCAGGCGCAGTGCCACTGTCACGAACCTCGACCAGCACGTCAACGAACGCTAGTACGTCGATGTCTTCCACTTCTGCCAGGCCATCAACTCCTGGGGATTTCCAAGTGGTGCAATCGAAATCAGTTACGCCCGCACGACCCAAGATCGTTGAACGAAACAAGTACGGTCAACGTGTAGACCGGGTTGACTTTAAAAGCATCCCGCGAGAAGAGATGAATCGCCTGAAGAAACTAAAATTATGCAACCTTCATTACCTCCTAGGAGAATGCACAATTGACAACTGTCAGCATGACCACTCGCGCAGGTTGACCAAAAGTGAACTTTCAGTTTTAACCGCCATCGCCCGCATGACACCCTGCCGATATGGACTAGATTGCGATGACCCGGAATGTACATATGGGCATCGGTGCCCTCACGCAGAGCCCGGGAAAAAAGATTGTTACTGGGGTTCGAATTGTCGATTTGATCCTGCCGCGCACGGCATCGACACCAATATCGTTAAGTTAACCAAGGTCTAATGGCAGGGGTATAGTAATTGGGGAAGCGAGCTCCATTTTCTCTTTCAAGTTTGCAGCGTGAAACAGGACCTGCATTGCTCTAGCACAAAAGTTGTTTTTTCCTTTGGCCTTTGTAACGGCTTCGCGCAGATAAGATTGGACTTTTCTTTTTTCAACAAGTTTTTGGACCATCAACACCAAGATCCTTATTTGCTGGCGTGCTTCCTACACTTGATTTTCTATCACCTTGCGCATGGTACATATCTTGATGGATATCCCTAAATTCGGTACCCAATCTGTGAAATTTTCTGTTAATATGACATTTTCGCCAATTTCTCACCCGCTAACATATATGCAATCCGATCTATATCGTCGTAACACTATTATCTTTGGACTCTTGTATTTGATATGATTCAGTATCTCAGTTTCTGTGCATCACTGATTCGATGGAAGCACTATCACATCATTCTTGCCTTGCATACACGAAACCGTGTCCCCAAGACTCATGCGCTTAGATAACCCTAGCACCAAAAGCAAAACAAAGTACCCTATTTATACAACAGCAAACACCGCCGTTATTCCCAGAAAGCAGTTTTGCACGCAAAAAGTGTATTACGAAATAGTAGTCATGAACATAGCAAAGCGCCTCTCCCAGCCAAAGCAGTCGTCATGACTACAGCCATTCTCGTCATCTTCGTTATTAATGGTGGTGTTCTCCGTATCAGGGCGATGTCTGCAGAGGACACCATATTCTTGGATGCAGCAATTGAAAGGTCTGCATGAAACTGGACCTATGTCTTGCTTTCCGTCGTGCAGGGCCGCTCTCTTGCGCTCCTCCAGATCGCCCCATAGGATGAAGAGCTTTTCTCGGAGTTCCTTTAGGTCGTGTTGGTTCCGTCTTAGACTAATGGACATAGCAAGATTAAAGTTAGAGGATTGGTCTCAGGCATATTTCATTTGTCGTGTCAGTTATGCAAGGGGGGGGCGGATCGGCAACACTTACTCGACTGCAGTTAATCCCAATAGATACTCCGCGTCCGGACCAGCTACAAATAACCTCATCTGCTCTTTCGCTTGGCCTGCGGTTGGAGGAGGGACGCTTTCAACGAGCAGGCAAAAGCGCCATTCCCATCTAATGAACCGGTCGGGATCTCTCTGGGAGGTTCCCTCGCCGGAGGAGTCTTCGGGGACGGAGAAGTCTTCCAGTCGTGGGGGGAAGAAATCGACGACACGAACTGTGGTTCGATAGCAGAAATTCTGGAAAGGGAAGCGGTACTGTATGTTGTCATATGAAATGTTGTCATGGAGTTTGTTGGAGAGGATCGCTTCGAGGGACATTGTAGGGACAGACGGATTGCCTGCTATGACTGTCATAGACTGTCAATCAACGATACGATACCCCAGTGGCTATTAACAGGACAGCACGACTTACTGTTCTCATTTAGTGCATATCGCTTGCTGCTTGCTGCTGTTATGGAAACTTGGCCTTCTTCCACCTTTTCGGCTCTCTTTCGCTGTTTCTTGGTGCTTCTTTTGGGAACTTGCTGGGCTTCGTTTTCCGGTTCCCGCTTCCGAGGATTCACTTTCCAGTATTCCGTCCTACGCTGTAAAAATTGCACGACAAATGTATCTTTGCGACGGTCCAAGGTATGTACATTCACTGAATTTGGATTCGTGCGGTTTGTGTGCACACTGGCCTCTAAGATCCCATTGATGCGGCTGCGCTTGACGTGCACATTGTATAGCTGGATGAGATCGTTATTCTTTAGGTGTTGGCGTGCATACGATGCATGGGGTTCCCAGAGGGTGATTGTGAGGGTCATTCGTCCAACAGGTCCTGTCCATTTCTTCTTGGGTCTTTTTTGATATCCGTAGACATCTCCTTCAGTGCCAAAGCCATTGTCACCGGCATCGTCTATTTGGCGGTCTTCGAGACCATTGTTGGCCGTGTAATCGGTGAAATAGAGGACGACCTTTTCACTGTCGTTGGTATAGATCTTGACAATTTCCCCCACGAGGTCAACATAATTTCGTTCTACAATATCCTTGACAAGTGAGAGCTTCTTGTGCGGATAAGGCTTAGAATTTGGAATTGCAGCCTGGACAATATAGGGGCCACGCGGAGTATCCTGCGCTGGGGCTTTGCGGAAGCCATCGACCGCGGGGAGGCTATTCATCAGATTTAGAGCATGTATCTTCTCCGAAGGCGATGGCTCGAAGTGTGTAGGGCCACAAAGGGGTGCAGGACTAGACGTGGGATCTGGGTCCAAGCGAAAGATTGCCCAGGGTACTTCTCTGTCCTGGGCAGCGACCCCCAGCGGGTCTCCTTTAAAATTTCTTACCTGCAGTCAAATGGTCAGTCTGTCACCGATGAAGGGGTCACGTCATGCCTCACGAACCCACAGATCTCGTATCAGGATCACATCGCGTAGTTGGACGGGGGGTAAATGGCTCTCATTGTCTTTGAAATATTTGATTTTCAACCCGTCCCATGTATGTCCATTGTCAAGACCCGAGTCCTTGATGGTAAAGGTGATACAGCTGGACGATCCTCTAGACTTCCAAATTCCTCCGAAGACGTCGACTACGACGCCAATCACACTTACTCTGCCCTGCGCAGAGAGCGCAGTGGACACATCCACGAAGCGAGACATGGTGTGAAAATTACGTTATGTCGCAAAATTCATATTGAGCCACAGTAGAACAGAGCCTGACGCATATAATGCATCCACTGCAGGACTGAAATGCCGTGAGTTCGGATCTTCTTGGCTGTTAACATAGATAAATAAGTTACTAGAAGTAGTATTGTTGATCGAACCGCGAATAGATCGACGCGGGACCGAGTGGAGCAGTTAGTAGTAATACACGTAAACAACGCATCCACCAGAAGAGCCCGAATTAGAAATGGCTAGCAAGACAGCCGGTTTCCAGAACAGCGTCAGAAGGTTTCTCGATGAACAACTGATCCAATATAGATAAAGGAACAAGCAGACGCGTTTGTCAGGGCAAAGAAATGAGACGAACCGGCGCCAACTTCGCTTAGGCGGAAGTGGCGCTTGCGGGCGGAGCTGGACGAAAACAGCAAATCAGCGGCGTCCCGTGACTGGGCAATCCCACCTCCGAAGAGCATCAACACTTTTTTCCCCTCCTTCTACCATCTCAGCTTTGCGCTTGTCCTTTCTTCCTTTGTCTAGCCTCTTTCTCTATCCCCTTATTTAGCTTGCTGGGATTCCCATCTCCCACATCTTGCTATTTACTTCATCTTCTTCTTTTCCCCCTCCATCTCCTTTTCTCTCCCCCCCATTTCTTAAGCTAATACACCCGGTTGTGGTGCGCTTTGTTTTCACCCCTCTGTGTCCCAAGCAACCATGGCCGAGCGCTACATCCCCGAGCATCGTCGCACTCAGTTCAAGGCCCGGAACCAGTTCCGGCCTGACGAGCTCCGTCGTCGTCGTGAGGAACAACAGGTTGAAATCAGAAAGCAGAAGAGAGATGAGAATTTGGCCAAGAGGAGAGGTATCCAGACCCGCGATGGCGGCATTGGTGTGGGCGGCGGCGTAGCTGCCGAGAGTGACGATGAGGCCAGCGCCATCGAGAGTGAGGTATGCGGTTCCTGCATTTCTTTTTGTTTCTATATCCATTGTTCGATCTCTTTGTTCCTTTCCCGACCGGGAGCTGCGCCCGTCGGCTGCCCGTTTTCGATCTTTCTTTCTGGTCGGTCTTGCTTGTCCAGATGCGTCCCAGTGTGAGAGCTTCTCACCGCTTTGCCGCCGGGCGAGCCCTCATTCGGCCTTGACTAGACAAGCACACGACCAGCATCATCAAGACTACCATTGCGCTCAGCAAAGATGTGTTCATTCCTGTGCAAATTAGCTAATGGATGGTTTTCTAGCTTAATGTGGAGCTCCCCGAGATGGTTAAGGGCGTCTTCTCCGATCAGATTGACCAGCAGATCCAAGCCACCACCAAGTTCAGGAAATTGCTCTCCAAGGAGCGCAACCCTCCCATTGAGCGTGTCATCGAGACCGGTGTCGTGAGCCGCTTCGTTGAATTCCTCCGATCCCCCCACACTCTTGTTCAGTTCGAAGCCGCTTGGGCTTTGACCAACATTGCCTCCGGTTCCGCCCAACAGACCCAGGTCGTTATCGAGGCTGGTGCTGTGCCGATCTTCTGCGAGCTCCTGAGCAGCCCTGAGCCCGATGTTCGTGAGCAGGCCGTCTGGGCCCTTGGTAACATTGCGGGTGACAGCCCTCAATGCCGTGACTTTGTCCTTAACGCCGGTGCTCTGCGTCCTCTGCTGAACCTCATCAACGATGGTCGGAAGCTGAGCATGCTGCGCAACGCTACCTGGACCCTGAGCAACTTCTGCCGCGGCAAGACGCCTCAGCCTGATTGGAACACCGTATGTTATCCTCTCTTCTCATGCTAACGAGCTGTTGTCGCTAACAATGGATTCCAAAGATTGCCCCCGCTCTTCCTGTCCTTGCTAAGCTCATCTACATGCTTGATGATGAGGTCCTGATTGATGCTTGCTGGGCCATCTCCTACCTGTCCGATGGCGCCAACGACAAGATCCAGGCTGTCATCGAGGCCGGCATCCCCCGCCGTCTTGTCGAGCTCCTCATGCACGCCTCGACCTCGGTCCAGACCCCCGCTCTCCGGTCGGTTGGTAACATCGTCACTGGTGACGATGTCCAGACCCAGGTCATCATCAACTGCGGTGCTCTTCCCGCCCTCCTTGCTCTGCTGAGCTCCACCAAGGACGGTATCCGTAAGGAGGCGTGCTGGACTATCTCCAACATCACTGCTGGTAACTCCAGCCAGATCCAGGCCGTCGTCGACGCCGGCATTATCCCTCCCTTGATCAACCTGCTGGCGAACGGTGACTTCAAGACGCGTAAGGAGGCCTGCTGGGCCATCTCCAACGCCACCTCCGGTGGTCTGCAGAAGCCTGACCAGATCCGCTACCTTGTGTCCCAGGGATGCATCAAGCCCCTGTGCGACCTTCTTGCTTGCCCTGACAACAAGATCATCCAGGTTGCTCTGGACGGTCTGGAGAACATCCTTAAGGTCGGCGAGATGGACAAGGAGGCTGGCCAGGCTGAGGCAAACGTCAACCGCTATGCCCTGTTCATCGAAGAGGCCGGTGGTATGGAGAAGATCCATGACTGCCAGAACAACGCCAACGAGGAGATCTACATGAAGGCGTACAACATCATCGAGAAGTACTTCTCTGATGAGGACGAGGCTGGTGACATTGATGAGGTTGCTCCTCAGCAGACCCAGACTGGATTCGCCCTCGGCACCACGCAACAGCAGGGCGGGTTCAACTTCGCCAACGGTGGTGACTCCATGGATATGTAAAAACAAAAAAAAAGACAAAAACAAAATTGACACGCATTTTACTGGCAATGAAACAATGACCCCACATGAGAGATCTGCACCCATCTATTTCGATTCTTTCTCGCTAGATCTACACCTGGCGGTCACCATGCCGCCATGTGGACCCTCAACCTTGAGTTCGTGGAGGCTCTGGGACGAGATTATCACTTCACTATTCCAGGCTTCTCGTGACTCAAGAAACGGCGGTGTCTAGTGTGGCTCCTCGCCATCCTTGGAGTACTTTGCGAAGTCTCTTCCGACTCTTTCTTGTTTTGCCCTTCCAGGTTTCCTCATTTTAACCCCTTTTGTCCTCCCCCTCCCCCTCCCCCATCCCCAATTTCCCTTCCCGTATCATGATTCTTCCCCTCTGTTTTGACCATCACGAACGATAAAGATTCACCATCATGTACCCCTTCTTATACGTGCCTATTACTCTGGTACCACCCCGTAGCATCCCTCATACACAGGCGTATTTGTTTTCTTTTTTCGGTCTCATTCTTGTTCATTTCCTCTGGATTATCCCTTCGGTTGTGGTTGTTTTGCGGGCTTAGGTGCTTTCCGTCCCCTTATCGCCTAGACAGACAAAAATAAAGGAATACTACTAGGCGTTGGTGTCGGCATACGCAGACCACTGGCTCTGTCCCTGGATGTGGTTTGGAATCCTTAGGGAAACAGGAACAAACTCAGTATAGTCTAAAGAGATCCAACAGATCCAGTCATGGTGGATAGTAAACCTAGCCCTGGAAATTGACATATTCCTTTCCACCCCATATATGCCTTACCTACGCTGAAACATCTCAAATGTGTTCCCTTGGTTTCTTTCCTTGTAATCCTGACACGGAGTGAAATACACCGAAGCAACTTGCCTAAAGTATACTCGTTCTCACACCAAAGACTAATTATATCACACAGGTACACAAGGACGTACATTTGTACAACCGTAGAGGCCGTAGGGCATGATACAAAGGCGGATAAATAGAACCTCAAATATCCCCTGTCTGTAGACTACTCATGTTGAAGCACCCTCTTAAAAGAGCCAGGCAGAAATTTACTAGGCAAAGGCAGGCCGATGATCTACGGAAGCTGGAATGAAGAAAATAAATGAGGTGGAAGTAGTCTGCGAAGATTTCCTTCATTGTCCGGGGCAAAGGAGGCTTAATGAAGACAGAAGTAAATCAAGAAACGAAGAGTAGTGATATCAGGCCAGGGCTACATAGTAGTAACAGTAAGATGGGAAGCCGGGGTGGGTAGTAGAAATGAAGAAAAAGCAAAGAGAGACCCCGCATATTGAATTGGAAGGACAGAAGGGAGAATCGAATATTGAAGAAAATGACAGTAGATCGTCACACCGAATCGCAATCAATCAGAAGGATAAAAAAGGTAAATGGCCTAGAATAGCAAATTGACACCTTAATACTGCGTGCCTTTCCCTAATAATTTTCGTCCGAAAAAAGAAAATATCAACTGAATAGACAAGACATGAATGGTATGATGAAAACAGAAAATAAACTAATCACCCATAACTTCGTCCTCGTCCGGATCTGGATTATCGTCCTCTTCCTCTTCCTCCTCGTCATTGTCTTGGTCGATGTTCTCCTCTTCGAGGAGGCCACGGGCTCGTAGATCCTCCTCTTCGTCATCTTCGTGATGGGATTCTTCTTCAGCGTCGTTCTCATCCTCGTCCTCTTCGTCGTCTATCCGTTCGGCGGATTTGTGCTCTCCTGCTCGCTTGCTGGCGCCATTCTGGGGTTTGCTTTGCGCCGATGGTTGTTTACTTCGTGACGGGGCGGCTCGTGTTGCTGTGCTTCTGCTGGGTATGAGGTCCCCGAGGTAGGCGAGGACTTCACGGTAGTTTCGACCCAGCTGAGACCTGTTGTTGAGCAGTTTCTTCGTCAATGCTCCACTGTCTGATCCGGTGGCGTCGATGATGCGTCCGACGATAGCGAGGACAATCTTGCCGGTCAGTTCGCACAGGCGTTGTTCGGCAATAATGCTCGATCGGAGGCGCTCGTCGTCCAGTATTTCTTCGGGTTCGGACTCTTCGTCGTCTTCATCCTGGGGTGCCTTCCGGATGTCTTCGTCAGATAGCCCGTCATCGTCGGCAGCCCTTATGGGAACTCGGATCTTCCTCGCGTACGTGCGTTCTGCTATGCTATGTATCCTGGCGATGAGTGTCTTTGGCTCACGTCCGATCTCTTGAACAAGACTTTGAGTCTGGAGGATCACATCCTCGTCATTGGCTGCACTCAGTCCAGCATGGCGAAGGGTGCCGAACAGGGTCTGAAGGTCTAGGAGCGTCGTGGCTGCGCAGAACCTGATGTCGTCCAGCCCCAAGCGCTGCTTCATGATAGCAACAAGTGTTGTGGTGAAGATTTCACGGCCCTTGGTCAGAGCCTCGAAGTATGCCGTATTGAACGAAGCCTTTCCTGCATTCAGGGCCGTGGTCAATGTCTGCACCTTCCACATGAAGTAGAACAGAAGCGTCCGAATGCTGTTTGTAACCAGTTCACTTTCTGCCTTGGCCAGATCCTCATCATCCTCCGGGTCGCGCAGCCCCCGTTTCATCAGATGCACGAGAGCGTTGAAAGGTGCTTCTGAAACGTCTGTGCGCTTACCCTTCGATCGACCAGAAGGCATGGTTTCCAAGACATGCGTACAGTCCGTCACACTGGCAAGGTTGGATATCCGGATCACTGTGTTGACGAGTTCGTTCAGGGTCGCGGGAGATATCGAGCCTCCCTTTGACACGTCCTGCTTTCGTGACAGAGTGCTCAGAGTCTCCACCACGTTGTCCCATAGCTCCTGAATCTTGCCCTCGAGCGCCTCGCGCATATCATCGGAGCTCTTTGCATGAATAAACGCAACGCTGGCCTCGGCCAGGACATCCTGGTCTGAATGGGTCAAGAACTGCTTGTTGATGTCGTTCAACAACGCGGTATAAGCCGTCGCGTCTTTCTGTATATCCTCGATCTTTTCCAGGTCGACAAGATGTTCAAGCCTCAAGACCGCAAATGCCGCCTCCGGTACGGAGCCGTACTTATTCAGCAGCTGTGGAATGATCTGCGCCAGGCTGTGCGAGATCTCCTCCTGCAGTTCTGGGATCTTGTCGGTCAATGCTTTAACTTTCCGGCCCCTCTTATCAATGTCTGACTTGGCAATCTCAAGGACGCGCAGTTTAACTGCGCAGCACAGTACTTCCAGAAGGATCACTTCCTGACCTTCTTGCATCTTGTACGATTTCCGGACCACAGTAGCAGTATCATCCTCGCTGGGGTCCTCCGGGATCTGAGAATGGTCATAGAGAAGGTATCCTGCCAGAGACTGCCAATGAGCAAGGTCGGTGAGATGGGGATAAATGGCCTCCGTGGCAAGAACGAAACGTGTGTCCATCGGAGCACCCGAAAGCGCATCTCGTGGCGCCACGGGTTCCTCGGCACTTTCATTCTCGAGATCATCGTAGGCTTGGAGAATATCCGCTAGGCACTTGAACTTGATCCAAGAGCGCTTGGGTGACTCGAAATCGTCCTCATCTTCATCACCGAAGATCTCGCCAGCCTCCTCTGCCATCTCTTCCATAGTGGAGTCGAACACATCCTCGACATTCGCAACGAAGAAGCGACCAGCCGCTTTACGGATCCGGGGTTCGGAGTCGAAAACGAGTTTGCCGACCGTATCCACATCAGCCGGCTCGATCAATCCAGCATCGCGAATCAGGTCAAGCAGCTCGATAGCAGAAGTGCGCACAGTAATCTCAGCATCGTGGGCAGCCATTTCTACCAGGCGTTGGCGGAAACGTTCCGTAAACGATCGAAGGCCCGCCATGTTGTCTTTGATCTCATAGAGGGACTTGAGCTGCTCAACTACCACTGCACGCGATTGGCCCGCGGCGTCAGAGAGGTTCCAGCCAAAATAACGAAGGAATTGGCCCTCGAAGAAGTATTCGCGATAGGTGCGCATCCAGCGTCCCAGAGCTGCCAGGCACTCGGCGCGGATGGCGGGGTCGATATCCCGGTAGCGATGGACGAAGACGACGTTCACACCATCTTTCAGGTAGTCGTCGATCATCTCCAGCTTCTTCTCACCCTCCTCGATCGCTGTCTCAATAGCGTCGACTCGGCCCTTGTTCACTGACCGCTTTTTCTTTTCACTTTCCAGCTGTTTGCGGGACGTGGAGACAGTGGTGTTGACCTCCCGCGCAATATCACAGAAAGCATTCATCGTGGCTAGGGAGACAACGGTAGCGGTGTGTCTGAAAGGCCGGCATCCGGAAGAGGACAGGGACGAGATCCAAACTTGGATGTTCTCGAAAAGGTTCGGATCGCTGTATAGCACGGACGAGTGGTGCAGGGTTTGGATCAGGGTCATGATGAAACTCTCCAAAACGGGGTGGAAAGACCTCAGTTTCCTGGACTTGGAGATCAAGGGGTACTCGGAAATTCCTAAAGTTTGGTACTGAGTTGCCAAATCACTCACACGGTGCGGGGCGTGGTCGACATTCTCAATATCAACGGTCGTGACTTCCAGATCAGTTCCCGAGCATTTCAGCATGAAGTTAACCATGTCGCACACTGCCTCCTGCTGCTCTTCTTGATAATGCGTAAGCCACTCCGCCGCAACCGTTTCGACGGTGCGTCCCTTGCCAAAGACCTCCGCTGGGAAAGATATCCATGTCAGCCATAGCAATTACGCCAAGGAATCAATTGAAGTAAGACACCTACCATAGAGACCGCCCTCGCGCGCAGCCATGGTGAGTCGCGCTTTCATCTGCCTGGGACGCGAAACCGGTTTCTTTCCGTTGGCAGCGGGTCGCAGGGCCAGGCGACTAGGTAGGCCGTTGCCAGCGACCTTCGGTTTCTTCGCGGTACGGGACTTGGGCTTCGGTTTGGATGCGGACGACTGCTTCTTGGCGGCTGCTTTGCGCGCAGCCCGCTTCTTCTCGCGCAGTTCCTCCTCGTCGGGATCTTCGTCGCCGGGCTCATCGCTGTCTGACTCGGACGCGTCCTCGTTGCTCAGTTCATTGTCATCATCGTTATCATCGCCAGTCGTGGTGCGCTTGCGCTTAGCCCCGCCTGCGGTCGCACCATTGCTGGCGCCAAAGCTCTGGGAGTACAGCTCTGGTTTTCGCGTCACGCGACCCGATTTCCTCCTGTCTGTTGACGGGGAGGCATCACTCTGGGTCTGGTCCGGCTGAGGTGTTGAGAGGGGCGACTCTGCTTCCATATCGTCTGTCTGTCGGGGAAAGATATTATATCACTGTAGGTCGGAACAATGGTCAGTCGGGATCCAACGGAATTCATTGGATGGATGTTCTCTGAGGATTTTGCAGGGCGTAGAGCGTACTTGGACGTGGGGGTTGGTGATTTGTCAAAGATAGAGATGAAACGGGAGCCGTCAAACGCGATGTTGGGGGTTTCCCTATGACTTCCGGGTTTGCGCGCGCGTTTGAGGCACGTTGCGGCACGCGGACAATGGGCGGGGAAGAAACGTGAGAAATAGGATAAATCAATTCTAAAGGGAAGCAATTGAGGACATGCGGAAGTCGGGAGTGGGACCCAAGGGATACGGGGAAGGAGAGAGGGAGGGGGGTTAGATAGGACGACGGAGGAGGGACTTTGGGGATCTTGACTTTGGCTCGTTGACGGACGACGCGCTTTGGTGCCTGGCGATGACGGGGAGCCAACAGGCGTGGCAGCCTCAGGCGACAAACTCCGCTTTCTGAATAATACACAAGCCAGACCCCGTGACTTTGTATGGAGGATGTAAAATGACAGGCGGAAAAGAATAAAAAATAATTACCGAGCTACTCCCAAATGGGGAAGGTACACGCTTGGCACTGGCGAGCAGGTGACCAGGTGACGGGACCAACCCTAGCCCTGGCGCAAGCCCCAAAGCGGGAAGTGCGGAGGAGGAAGTAATCGATGCCGTAATGGAAACCACGGGGGGCTCCATCGCGACTTCCTAAAAAAGACGCGATTGAAGGGCCAAGAAGTGCCAGACCATCAAATTCCAGTCATCTCCATCAAGACCCCGCCTTGATGCTGATTTTGCGACGCCATTGAAGTCTGGCGATCCTCGATCTTCTCTCCGCGCAGTAGCACAGCCCATCAGCTGTTCCTTTTGCCTGACGATAGTCCACTCCTTCCCTCCCTTTCCCCCCCCCCAACGTCTGGCCCGGACCTGGGGAAAGCAAACATCGTCACCCCCAGCTCCATTTCATCATCTGGTTCTCCTCTCACGCCGCGATGAGCAACTGGTCGACCATGCAGTTAAAAGCCAAGCATTCCGTCTTCGTCTCGCTCTTTTCCTTCTTCCTCCACCCATAAAATATCCACCTTCAATTACTCACTCTCTTTCTTCCTCCCTCTCTCTATCCTTCTTCTACTTTTCTTCTTGTTGTTCATGTACTTCACAAAAAATCTGCAACCATGCCGATAAAGTCTCCCTTTGAGTCCTCCATTGCAAAGCCTGGTCATGGCAAGGTGGTTCTCTCTCTCCTCCCACCAGCAAATCCCTCTCTCACGACCCTCACTTATAAATATCCTCTCAAACTCCTCACTCGTGTCCCCGGCTTCGTTCCGCAGAACGCCGCTCTCTCAAAATGTCCTTCCAACCCCGTCCACCTCTACCTTCTCACCTACGGCGGAGGCCTGCTACCAGGCGACCACATTTCGGTCTCCATTACCCTCGAAGCTCACACCCGTATGGTCGTGACAACACCACAAGGGAGCACCAAGATTTTCAAAACTGAGCCCATCAGTATGAAGGGCCACCGCAGCACTCTCAAACACACACTCTCCGACAAGAGTCGGCAAACATTAGACGTGCACGTCGGCGAGGGTGCTGCCCTCTGCTATCTGCCAGACCCAGCTGTGCCATACAAGGACAGTCGCTATGAGCAAGTCCAGACCTTCACTGTTGACGGACTAAATAAGAGCAGTCTCTGCATCCTCGACTGGGTGACAGAAGGCCGGACGTCCCGTGGTGAGAGCTGGGACTTCCATCTCTGGCGAGGCAAGAACGAGGTATGGACTACAACAACAGACGGGAAAGGAGCACCGCCAAAGAAGAAGCTGCTGCTCCGGGACTCGCTCATTCTCGATGACGAGGTTGACATGGCCCTTCTTGAAAACGGAGTGGACACATGCGACCGTAGTGATCTGTTGCGGGAGCGTACCCGACCGCACGGGGTCGTGGGGACCTTGATTCTCTACGGGCCAGTCTTTGAAAAGCTCGCGTCTTTCATCATGGACCGGTTCTCCTCGCTACCGAGGATTGGCGCAAGGAATTGGGCCTCCTCGGCGCCGGCCGCTATGGAGTCCACGCCCAACTATGATTCCCAAGTGACATTCACGGCAGCACGGGTGCGTGCCGGGTTTGTACTGGTGAAGTTTGGCGCGAAGGAATTTGCAACGGCCAAGGATTGGCTGGGTGGGATTCTGCGCGAGGAGGGTACGGTGTTCCGCGAGTTCGGTGAGGAAGCGTTATTTTGTATGTGATTTACCTATTCACATAGGGGTCTTATTTTTCATACATACTACGTCTTTCTGCTCGTCCCTCGGGAGGGACTAGCCAGTTATCTTTTCTGTTATTTTTTACTATCTTCATAGATAGATGATACCCGGATCACGTATCCCCCGAAACAGACATGTTTCCAAATCAAACAGTTACTTTTTTTTGATCACCAAGAGAACGCAGTCCAAAGTAATTCATCCACGGAAAGTTAATAGAAGTCATCAGCTCAGAATTTGATGCAAAATGATCAGAATTTGTTCTTCACTGATCTATTCACATTCAGCATCATCTAGTACTCTAGTGTAGTAGTACTTCCGCAGCTATCTAGTAAACCAGCCAACCAATCACCCCCCAGATTTCCCCTCAACAACTGACTAGTAGCTAAACCTAAACCAGACCTCCCCAAAAGAAAACTGAATTAATACTGATCCCAAAACCATCATGTGGGTATCTACCTAGCACCAAAAAGAAGAGAACCCAGAAAAAAAACGCCATCTTTATCATCATCGTCTAGTAGTAGAAAGACCATGCATCACACCAGGTGAATAAGCGCGTGGGGGGCGACCATTGCACGCGATCGATGTATGTGAGAAAAGGGAAAGAAAACAAAAAGAAAAGAAAGAAGAAAGAAAACCGAACTATTTACAATCAACTCCACCAATCCGAGATTCTAGGTCGCCAATCCTGACGAGTGGCGCTGCGCAGATCATCCACGTTCAGATAGTCGATACCTTCGCGGACGAGTAAGCTCCAAAGGTGGTTGCGCAGACTCCGTGGCCAGGCGGGTACGCCCCAGTAGCGGACTTTAAGGCCGTGACGATGAGCGGCGCGGATCTGGGCGCGGATCTGATCGACTTGGCGCTGGGAGAGCCGGAAGGACCAGGGCATGCCGATGGATTTCTTGAAGGAGACGGAAGCGTAGTAGCTATTGGTCCAATCAAAGGTATCGGGGCCGATTTCTGCGTCGGAAATGCCGGACAGGCCTTGACCGACATTCTTAGTGGCGCGGGTGGCTATCCCTTTTGCGGCTTCGGGGGTATTTGAGAGGGAGACGTCATCGTCATTGTTGTAGTCCTCGGTGGTGGTGATGTTGTCGTCGACAAGTTTGTCCAGTGGTGCATCGAAGAAGATATCGCGGTAGGTGGTGTTGGCCGTGACTAGGTTGAAGGGGGTATTGCCGGTGCCGACAACGGTTATGGGGCCCGGAATGATGTCGGTGCCGTTGAAGAAGGAAAGATAGCCGCGCTCGCGGAGCGGGGCGAGCTGTGCATGCACGTAGTTCCAAGTTTCTTGACCGTCCGTTTTAAAGTCGATCAACAGGATTAGGGTTTGCGAGGGATCCATGTCGAAGACCCCTTGCGGCGGACTGTCGCGCTGAGGGTGGAGGTCGGTGATGGGGTTTTGCAGCTCGAGAATGCGCAGCAGCGGGTTGATGTACAGGTTGCGCAGAGTTCGCTGGGGCGTCAGCGCAGACATGGTATGGCCGACGTAGAGGTCATCTTCGACGAGCCACACATCGGCCTCCACGCCGGTACAACCAGCCTGCAGGGCGGAGAACAACGGCACAGGGCGCCAGTAGTCATTGTGAGAGTGGCATCCCACGGGGACGATATCTCTGGAGATGTCTGTTGGCCAATGCAGGATGTCCGCGGATGGGGATCGCTGGTCGCTATGACGCCACCGCTCGATGGCACGGTCGAATTCGTCGGGGAAGAAGGAGACGGCGATGCTGCAGGCGATGGAGATGAACTGGACGACGCCCCTAAATGGTTGGGAGGTGAGTTGACGGGAACACTCACCCATTAGGGGAAGAGGTTGAGGGAAGGTGGGTGGGGGGAACTCGACTCACAGCATGACGAGGAGTCCCAGTAGAGGGTAACACAAGCACCGCGACAATGATTTGATTCTTTGATATTGTCGCGAGGAGGAATGCCAGGCGGCAGTGGGAGTGGCGTTATTGGCGGAGGCGAGCAGTGGGCGAGCGTCGGCGGGCTGGCGGTGATGCTTCTTTTGTTTCTCCCGCGGCGATAAGTAGGCGGCGATAAGAGCAACGATTCCCCGCATGCGCCCCGATCGTGGTCGCTTGGCCGCGTAGAATTGGGATGCTTCTACATCAGCATCGTAGGCCGACTCCCTGAGGGCAGTGCTCGTCTCAAAATCCTTGTCTAATGGGAACCGGTCCAATTGACTTTTATCGTCGTGATTGGAGAAGGTGGAATGAGGGTAAGCCGAGGGAGACGAAGAGGCCATACTGGTTGATCCGCTCACTCACTACTTACTCACTCACTCACTCGCTCACTCACTGCTAGTCAGGAACCAAGAGGGAGGAAAGAGAGTAGGAGTAGTACTAATAAGTAGGGAAAAGGGAGTCGCTATATGGGGTTTATATTATAATATAAGGTATCGGGGGGTCAGGCAAATTCCGATAAGTCGAGCGAGAAAGCTGCCGGGACCACCAATGGTCGTCCCATGATTCATTCATTCAATGGGGGAAAGTGCCCTGGAGGAGGAGGAGGAAGAGGGGTGAGATCCATCCACAGTTGCAGCCGAATTGCCGCAGGGCCCCGGGAGGGAGGAATGTGAGGGTGAAGCGATCTCCACTTCCCAAAGGTTAAATCGGTTGTCACGGTCATATTTAATTTTGATATTCACCGATCAACCATGTCACCCATCTTGATATTCCCTCTTTCTCTTTGCGTGCTGACGACCACACTTGGGATTCGTGTAGACCCTGTCTTGACACACACATCTTTCTCTTCCTAATCCATGGAATATCATTCAGTATTGAAACCTTAGTACAATCCTTCTGTCAGGCCAGAAGAAAGTCGGGAACGAGCCAACACGCCCATGTGCAGCACTGAAGCTGACGATTGGTCCATCCCGACTAGTTCTACCCTTTCATCCAACCTAAGAAAGTCTTGTTCCTAATACTGCAGTGAATGATATGATAGTGCTTACATATATGTCAGACACCATTATTTTAAATTACTACTAGTTTAAAGGGTCCCCTTCTTGTCTAACCTCACCTCATCACAAGCATACTACGTACTAGTAATAATTACTATATACAATAGGGCAAGAATCGAAAAAAAAAAAGATGAGACTGTTGCCTAAACACATGGATCATCAGCAGCAAATGACACGGCCACCACCCACTGTGGGACACAAACGTACAGGAGAGAGAGATGGGGGGCGAAAAAATTAAATCCCGCGGAACAGCAGCGGATGTGGATGGAACCCTTGAACAACATTCTATGGTGCCGACTTACCCAGAGTGCAGTGCAAAGGCATGAGGTGATCGGGGAATTGATTAGTGCCGGACCAGACCAGACTTCTCGCACTAAATTGGCTAGGCTGCAGGCTGTCTGCAGCGGTTGCAGGACAACAAGTGGTCCAACACACTGTTACTAGTAGTACTTACACAGTAGGGCTAATACTGGATATTGCTAGGATTATAAACCTAGAGGATGATTACTACTTTATAATGTAGCAGTTGTGTGAGTGAGACATTTAGCTATGGTCGAATGACAGTGTTGTGTGGCTTCCATGTTAGTACAGTGTAGGGCCAGCGTTGCATCGCATTTAACTGGTGCTTTATATCCGAGAGGACAGTCAGTCTAGCTTGCATTTCGGATGTACGGATTACACTCTGGGGCCCGGTGGTCGAATGCTTAGAAATGTAAACTGGGTTGCTCATTAGTAAAATACTATTATCTTTATTTGCTTATTTACTATAATCCCTATTATGGTAAGGTTCATGTAGTTGTTCTGCCCTACGCTGTCCAATCCTACCCGATAGGTTGGAATATATATTCTAGGCTGGCCCTACAAAGGGTCCAACATATATCACAGGTCTATTATACCATCCTTCATCATTTGCACCGAACCAGCCACTTAGTTATAGAATCTGTAAGTTGATATGTGGTACACCTGCAAAAGTAAAACATACACAATAATATCATGTAGAAAACAACCAAACCCAAACCCGAATAATAAGAATGATATCTCCAATGTCCGGCGTGGATAGTACATACTAAGATCCCATCCTTATCAGCGGCGATAAGATACGCCGCCCACCCGAAAAGGGAAACTCAAAAAAAGTTTCAACTCCATCTAACCAACACCGATACCCCATCTACCACAACAATCCACATATACAACCACCACAATGCCTCACAAACACAAGCGCCGTGAGAAGGATGCCAAGCAAGTCTCTCCTACCCGTTATATACAATACCAACCCACTAACCAAAAACTTACAACAGCACCTACGACCTCCCCCCCACCGTAATCGCCAAACCCCTTCCCGTCCGCGATCCCTCCAAACCCACCAAAGGCAAAGGCAAAGGAGGCAAAGGAGGCAAGGGCGGCAAACCACAAACAGCAGCCAAACCCACAAATAAAGCCATCGGGGAACGCAAGGTCAAATCTAAATCTACCTCAGAATGGGCCGACGACACTCCGCGCGCATTCCGCCACCTACTCCAACTTCAGCAGAAGCAACAAAACGGCGCACAGCAGAAGAAGCGTAAACGTAACGGGATTAACGATTCCGATTCATCAGACTCCGACGAGGATGTTCCTCAAACAAACAACAAGAACAACAACAACAAGAAGAAGAAGAAGGCCGCTACAACCACTACCACCACCACACCCACCACTACAGAAAGCTCGCAAGCCGAAGAGAAGACAGTAAAACCGCAAATCCTTCCCGGGGAGAAGCTCTCCGACTTCGCGGCACGTGTCGATCGCGAAATGCCTCTCTCCAACATGTCGCGCAGCACGAAACCCTCCGCGACAGATGTGCCCAAGATCCGCGAAACGCGGGTGACGAAGCATGAGAAGCATCTGCTACGACTGCAATCGCAATGGCGGAAGGAAGAATTGGAGATATTAGAGAAGGAGGCGGCGGAGCGGGAAGAGCGCGAAGAGGAGATGGAGGAGCAGTTGCGGCTGTGGAAGGAGTGGGAGGCTGAGGGGGGCAAGAGGAAGGCGAAGAAGAAGGGCGTGCAGAAACAGCTGCAGGCGAAGGTGGAGGCGGATCCGTGGGCGAAGTTGAAGAAGGAACGGATGAATAAACAGATCAGTCCGTTGGATGTGGTGCAGGCGCCGCCGCAATTGACGAAGCCGAGAGAGGTGTTCAAGGTGCGGGGTGGGGCGAAGGTAGATGTTGCGAATGTGCCTGCTGCTGGTGGAGCGACGAGTTTGAGGCGCAGAGAGGAATTGGCGAATGAGCGGAGGAATATTGTTGAGGAGTATCGGAGGTTGATGGCTGAGAAGAGGAGGGGGTAGTAATCCCTCTCCATGGATTTATATGGAGGCTGTGTTGGGTAGCAAGTATAGGTATAGACGGAGGATGCATTGTTGTAGATAATAACTACCAATACCCCTAGAAGAAGATCTGAAACACGTCTGAAAAAATGCTTTTTTTATATATACAAGATACACATCATGTCTAAGTATGTCCCAGATATCAAAAAGGAAAAAAGAAACAAAAACACCAATGCTCACTCTACTCCTGCTGCAAGGACTTAACGTAGTCGGCCGCCTTGGCCTTGATCTCCTCGACCATCTTGTCATTTCCACCCTCAGCCGACGCCAGCTTCTCCTCAAAGGAGAGCCACTTCTTGAAGAAGAATTTCGCCTGCTTAGGCCGAACCTTCTTGCTGGCCTCAACGGCGGCGGCAGCGCCACCCTTCTTCGTGTCGCGGATGCCCAGGACCCGCTCGAACAGACGGCGGACCTGCTCGGCATCGCCGTTCTTGATCTCCAGATCCAAGAGGATGTTCCAGAGATCGATCTTCTTGGGGAACGAGGACAGCAGACCCTCGAACACCGTGCGACCACGCTCGATGTCGCCGTTAACCGAGCGGAACTCCAGCTGGCCGAACTTGGAAGTCAACTCGACGTGGGTGTGGGAAGGCAGGGACTGCAGGGCGCGAGGCAGTAGCGCACGAGCGCGCTCGGGAGCAGCCATGGTGTCGAACAGGAAGCTGGCGTAGTTGACGAAGAACTTGGGGGATCCGAAGACCTTTTTCTTGAGAGCGGTCTGGAAGAGATCATCCGCTTTCTGTAGGTGACTCCGTTAGCATGCGAAAGGGAACTAAGAGCACACGTGAAACTTACCTCGTTCTTGCCAGATTGGATGTAGATGCTGATCGTCCGCTCGTAAACCTCCTGGGTATCGTTGTACTGGCACGCACGCTTGAAGACGTCCTCCAGAGTGTCGTCGTTGCCGTAGGTGTTCTCCAAGTTGAGCATGGCCACCCAGATGTTCAGCTTCTCAGCGTCCTGGCCGATGGTGATGGTGCGCAGAGCACGCTCGGCAATCTCACGAGCCTTCTCGACCTCACCCAGCTCCAACTGGAAGGCCATGTACTGAAGCCACAGGAGAGAGGAGTCGGGCTCACCGAGCAGTAGTCGTTCGTAGTCGGCGACAGACTGGGGTCCGTTAGCATCCAGATCACCGGTCCGGTCGACCTGGATCTCGGGCTTGCGGTTCTTCTTCTTCTTGGGTCGCGAATCCTCCTCGTCATCCGAGTCTGAGCGGGCACCAGCCTCATCGTCGTCCTGGTTGTTGCCGCTCCAGTCGAAACCACCAGCACCGAGTCCGCCATCTTTCCGGCTTGCCTTGGCTGGTGCATCAGTCATTTCCTCGTCGTCACTCTCTTCTTCGGACTCCTCGTCACTATCACCCTCGAGGTCGACTCCGCCCATGGAAACGTCACTCTCCTCATCGTCGCTGCCCTCGACATCAACGCCACCGAAGCCATCCAAGCTGACGCCTTCAGAGTCGTCATCCTCCTCCTCTTCGTCGCTGTCCTCCTCCTCCTCCTCATCGAAGTAGGAAGCCTTCAGTCCGAAAGAGATCTTCTCCTGCTTACGGTCGATCTTGAGGATCTTGGCCTTCACAGCATCGCCCTCTTCGTACAAGGTCCGGGCATCTTCCACACGACCCTCAGCCATTTCACTGCGGTGGCAAAGACCGCTGATGTTCTTAGAACCGTCGATGACGACAAAGGCACCGAACTCCTCGACCTTGCGGACCTTACCAGTAACAATCTGGCCAGGCTTGAGGTCGTGAAGCGTGATGGGAGCCTTGTAGTTGGGGTCCAGAACAGACTCCTTCAAGCTCATCTGCAGCTTGCCTTGCTCCGAGTCGGACACAGTAACACGGCCCTTGACCAGTTGATCGGCCTGGAAAGAGTCCTTCCACTCCTTGAGGTAGGAATCGGAGAGGTCAGAGATGCGGACATAAGCAGTAACATCGCGGCCGACCGTGACGAAGAGTCCGTTGTCTGCAACCCTCCGGATGAAACCCCGAACAATGTCGTTCACCTTGAGTTGCTTGATGGAGGTAACCTCCTTGTCCTGGACGGGCAGGGAGGAACTGAGAACCTTGGACGGGCGCAGAGAGAGGGAGATCTTCTTGTTAGCCTTGTCAATGGCAACGACACACGCGCGGAGCACTTCGTTCTTCTGATACACAGTAGGATTGGCCTT